GTTTTTTCAAGCCCTACAAAAGTGTCAGTGACGGCATTTTGCTATCTATTAACCGGAACGAGTTAAATGCAACAAAAGGCAAAAAATCATTCTTTTTTCGCCTTTTTTTCAAGTTAACTCGAAAAATATTGATTTTAGGTTAGGGTCTTCGCGAGATGAATTGTAGGGCTTGAAAATACCTACAAAAAGAGAGGTCGCACGTTCAATTACGACCAAAATTGACCGAGTTACAGCGAAAAAACGCAAAATTACCTTCCCCCACCCCTCTATAATTTAGCTCAAGGTCTATGTATACGACAACTCAGAAATAAGCTCTTCTTGACATCCCCAACAAGTCTAACAAAAAATCTCGCGTCTTCGTTCACTTTCCCAAAATCGCCTTTTTTTTGTATAAGATGACTGGCCTAATCAGTAAGGTAATGTAGTGGGAGCCTACTTTAGACGCCTGGGAAGATGTTAGAAAGAAGTTCTATATATGATGAGTCCAGTAGTGGAAGCCGGGACGAAACGCCAACTCGTGATATTCTTCACAATCTCAGCTTCTCTGAGTTTAAAATTATTACTTTAATATTAAATTTTAATATATGTCTTTCAACATATTATTAAGATGTAATATGATGCTATAGGCATAAAAAAATTGGTTAAATTGATTCTCAATTTAACTAAGTGATATTACTGTGGTAGTGAATATGTATGCGTCAAGGCTGAAAATCTATCAGCGTCGCGAGGGTGGACTACATACGCAGTATATAAATTCACATAATAAAATAAACATTAACATCCAGTTTTCAAGACTCGATTAGGCTTTACACTTTCTATGATTTTAAAAATGTATTAAGGTACGATAATCAAAAAGTCAACAGTTTACGAGTTATTTAACATTTTGTGTCCATATGTATCAAAATAAAGTGTAAAATATCTCGAAAACTATTGGTTTTCTGGTATCTCTACCTTAACACTTTTATATGCAAAATAATTAGAGGAATCACGTTATCTAAAAAAAATTATATAATTCCTTTTAAAAAAGTGGAGGTGACCTTCATATCTTTTTAGCTCCTTCACCAAAAAACAATTATTGACATCACATTATGTGCCCCTCGAAACCAAGCAACTTTTGTTTGACACTTTTTCTTCTATTGTCAAAAACAAGCGAGTTATTCAGATGAACTGTTTTAAATGCCCCTCCTAGTATAAAGAATTATTAAAAAATATATGAAGGCATTTTACATCTCAGTAGAAATGTTTCAAGAATAAAATTATTAAAAATCTTGCATAAATTTTAAATACATGTATAAATACATGTATATTATATGCATATAAAATTCTGTTTAATCAGAAAAAGAATTACCGTGCTGTCAATATCTACACCTTCATACAAATCTTCATTCTCAAATTTTACGTGCATTTGTTTGTTCTCGTCATTTCTCAATAGTTTATGTTCAAAATCGATCTCGTTTTCAGGTTGAGTACAATTTCCATATTTTGATTCATTCTTAAAGTATCCGTAATTTTCAGATTCTGTTATTAAATCTTTATACTGAAAAGGAATTTTCAAACTTTTTTGTTGCTCCAACTTATCAAATTCGAAATTATGTTCTGGAATTTTTTCAGAAATTTGCTTAGGAACATCAATTTGTGTTCTTTGTTCAATTTCGCTACCTGGAGCCTTTTGCCAAGGGCTCCAATTCTTCATTCCAGATTTGGATGTAATATTATTTTGCAATTGATCCCATATAGAAGAAGGAAATGTTATTTGAACCCGCGATATTTTCTCATTGTTAATTGAATGCCAAGGAAGTACTAATTCACGTCGTTCTGGTGGTTTTGTAGTTGTTAATTTTGGATTATAAATCTGCAATAATAAAAATGAGTATGACTTGATTGTTGTCGAAACTTTTGTTGTTCATGTATGGTAATTATTTTTATTTTTATGCATTTAAATTAAATGTTCTTTATTACATAATATTGTAAAAAAATTACTGGTTCTTAGCCCTTCAATTGTTCTAGTTTATTTTATTCTTATATATATATATTTGTTTTATTCTCATAGAGCCTTATTATTACTTTTTATTTATATCAGGAGACGCGGTAGCGTCTCCGGCCATGTTCAAAAACTCTGAGACGCTACAAGTCTCTTATCCCGAGCCACCAAAGTCCATTTTTGGGAGGTGCATAACTACTAAAATATAAAAAATTTTGAATTGAACGTCATATGTCCTGAAAGGCGGCATCGCCACGAGTAATTTGAGCCAAAAAAATTTTAAATATTATTATATACTTTAAAATAAATTAATAAATTTGATTACTATTAATGCAATGAATTACACATCAAATAGACTTTCGGTTTGAGGTGAGTGAGAGCAAAGACGTGTTTAATTAGCTTACAGAGGTGAATTAAAGATTGTGGCTGTAGAAAACTTGCCCTACGGGGAGGTTTTTGTTATAGGGACGAGAGTCGATAAATCTAAGAGCTAGGAGAAAAGTAGCTCGCCTCATTAAGAAGCGGGCTAATTATTGAAAGGGAAAGACGAGACAAGGGGAACCTAACCTCAACGGACAAGAGATCCAGGTTATCGGATCAAGGACCCTGGGGGTGGAGTGGCACAAAAGAAAGGATATTGGCACCGAAAAGTGAAAAGGAGAGTAAAGGTGACAGAGGTGCATAGGGGAGCCTTGTAATACGTCATAAAATAATTACGTGAAGGGCAGGCTGGGCGTGCGTGGCGTAGAGATTGAGGTGCGCAGGAGCGAGGTGAAAGGAAGTGACGGTTGGCAAGTGAAGGCGAGCGGGGAGAGAGGAGCGGTCGGTGGGAGTCGGCAAGAATTGGGCAGAGAGAAGAGGATGCGTAAGGCCTGGAAGTGGGAGTGAGGAATGAGTGAGAGGGCAGAGAGGGAGAAAGAAGAAACCTTCCTAGCGCCAGAGGAGTCAAGCAGAAGTAGAGCGGAAAGGTGGGTACGAACGGGGGAGAAGTGGGGAACAAGTTTGAAGGAGAGCGACGACGGAGAAAGGCAGACGGGAAAGAAGAGTGTAGAAAAGGTAGCGGAGAAGAGAGGAAGACCCACGAAGGTGGAGCAGCTGGGAAAGGAGAAAAGGGATAGCAGTATCACGAGTATTCGGAGCTCGTGGTTCTCGAGGAGGGGAAAAGAGTGTGACGAAGAAGATAGTGAAGAAGAACAGCAAAACGAGAAACGCGAGAAGGAAGGTGAGAGAGGGAAATCGTTGGAACAACAAACAAAAACAGAGGAAAAAGAAGTTACAAATATGGAGGAGATGGAAAAAATGATGAAGAGACTACTAAAGCAACAGAAAGAGGATATAGTAAGAGAGATAAAAAGAGAAGTAAAGGAAGAGATAAAAGAAATGAAGAGGCAGTTGAAGATGAAATTTGAGAAATTCAAAGAGGAAGAGAAAGAAAAAAGGAAGAAATTAGAAGGAGAAAATGAAGAACTGAGGGGGAGAGTAAAAGAGATAGAAAAAAGGAGAGAAGATCAAGAGAGAAGAGACAGAAGATTTAACGTAGTAATGAGGGGGGTAGAAGTGGAAGGGGGAAAGGCGAAAGAAGCTGCATTAAGGGTTTTGGAAAAGTTGGGGGGGTTAGATAAAGAAATAAAAATAAGAGAAGTATATAAGATGGGGAATAGAATGAATGAGAGTGTGGTGATTGTGAAATTAAATTATTTAGATAATAAAAAAGAGATCATGATGAAAAAGAATAAATTGATAGGCACGAAAATATATATAGATGATGATATGACTAAAAGGTAGAGAGATAGACAGAAGGAGGTACGGGGGTGGGCAAAGAGAGAGAAAGAGAGAGGTAGATTAGTGAGAGTGGGCTTAGGGAAAGCGTGGATGAATGGTAAAGAGTATGTGTGGAACGAAGAGAGTAAGTGTATGAGAGAAGCGAATTTTTAAAGAAGCGTGCTCGCAGTCGAAAAAGAAAAGAGGGGGGGAAGAAGAGGGAGGGAGGGAGTGAAGAGGGAGAAAGTCGTAGTATAAAAGGGGTATTCTGGAACAGGATTAAAAAGAAAAGATGAAGATTTCTGGGATTTCTTGAAAGATTATGATGTGATTGGATTAACGGAGACATGGGTGGAGGAAGCGGGGTGGAGGAAGTTAAAAGAAAAAATGCCGGAAGGATGGAGGTGGAAATGTCAACCAGCGAGGAGAGAGAAGAAAAAGGGGAGAGCGATGGGAGGAACAATAACGGGGGTACGAAAAAAAATAGAAGAAAGAAATGGAAGTGAAGAGGATGTAGAGGGTATACAGCAAAGGGAGGTTACTATAGACAAGGAGAGGTGGAGAATCATAACGGTATATAATAGAGAGGGGAGTAAGGACGCGCTAGATAGATTGAGAAAGGTGATAGTAGAGAGGGAAAAAGGAAACATGTTAATAGCGGGAGATTTTAATGCCAGAACTGGTAGGGAGGGGGGATGTTGTGTAAAAAGTGGGGAAGAAGAAGGAGGAAAAGGCAAAGAGCGGAGGTCGAGAGATGGAGTGATAAATAAACAGGGATATGAGCTGATTAAGGCAGTGGAGGAAAGGGGGTGGATGATACTAAATGGGAGGAAAAGGGGGGATGAAGAGGGAGAGTGGACGTACGAAAAAGCGGGTGGGAGATCAGTGATTGACTATGGGATTACAAACTTGGAGGCAGAAGAGAAAATTAGGTCTTTCAAAATAGGATGCAGGAGAGAATCAGATCACTACCCAATAATGATAGAGTTAGGAAAGGAATATATAAGGGAGGAGAGGAAACAAAAGAGGGAGGCAGAGATGATACAGGATTGGTCAAACGAGGGAGTAGAATATTTTAGGAGTAATATAGAGAAGATAGAATGGGAAAAGGAGGATGTGAAAGGAGGATGGGAAGAATTGGAAGAAGGAGTGAAAAGAGCGGTTAAAATGAAGAGGAGAGGGGGAAGAAAAGGGGTAGGATGGGTTCTATGGTGGGACAAGGAGTGTAGGGAGAAAAAGAAAGAGGTGAATAGGGCAGGGAGAAAATATAGAAGGAGAAAGATGGGATATAATGAGTTTGTAGTAAAGAGACGGGAATACAGAGAATTATGTGAAAAGAAAGAAGCAGAACAGAGGAGATTGGAGGAGGGAGAGATAAAAAAGATAACAACAGAAGCGCAGGCATGGAAATTTATTAATAGAGGAAGGAAGAAGAGGGAAGGAGTAAGTAATGAGATTAAAATGCAGGAATGGGAAGAGTATTTTATGAAAGCGTTAGAAGGAGTTAAAGAGAGAAGTGTAGGAGAAGGAGAAGAGGAGGGACGGAGAGTGGGGAGAAAGGATGAAGAAGGAATAAGCCGAGAGGAAGTAAACATAGAAATAGAAAGATTAAAGAAGGGTAAGGCGGCAGGGATAGATGGAATAAGAAATGAAGCATGGATGAAGGGGGGAGATAAAGTAGGTAAAAAGTTGGAAGAGATATATAGGAAAATATAGGAAGGGGAGGGTTTCCCGGACAAATGGAGAACAGGAGTGGTAGTTCCAATATGGAAAAGGGGGGACAAAAATGTGACAGAAAATTATAGGGGGGTTACGTTAACGAGCACCGCGTATAAGATATATGCGAATATTCTCAATAGAAGGGTGAGGAAAGAGTTGGACGAAAAAAAGGATGGGGTAGGACTCAAGCAAGATTTATAAAGGGAAGAGGAACAATAGAAAACATAAAGATCTTAAAACACATAGTAGGAAGAAGATTGAAAGAAAAGAAAAAGGTGTGGGCTTTCTTTATAGATTTAAAAGGTGCGTTTGATAAAATAGATAGGAGGGTGCTATGGGAAATGATGAGGAGAAGAGGGATAAGTGAGATACTGATAGAAAGAGTGAGGGAGATTTATGAGGAAACAAGATGCGTGGTAAGAGTAGGGGAGGAGGTTTCGGCGGAATTCGGCGGTAGAAAAAGGGGTAAGGCAAGGGTGTCCTCTGAGTCCAACTCTTTTTAATATTTATATTGCGGATATAGAAGAAGAACTAAGGAAGGGGAGAGGAGGAGTGAAAGTGGGAGGGGAGTCGATAGAATATGCTGACGATATTGTGGTTGTGGCGGAAGAAGAAGAAGGATTAAGGGAGATGATAAGAACAATACAAAAGTATTTAAAAGAGAAGAAACTAGAATTGAGCCCAGAAAAATCAAAAGTTATGGTATTTAGAGAAAAAGGGAGAAAGGAGAAAGAAAGGTACTGGTGGTGGGGCAGGGAGAGGATAGAAGAGGTCAAGGAATATAAATATCTGGGATACTGGGTGACAAGATATGGGGGGGATAGGAAGCATGTGAAGGATAGGATAAGGAAAGTAAGAGTAGCTATGGGGTGGGTGTGGAGCTATGAGGAAAGAAAGTTCAAGGGGGACATAAGATGGAGATTAAAATTATTTGATAGCATAGTGAAAGGAATATTATTGTATGGGGTGGAGATATGGGGATATAAAGAATGGAAAGAAGTAGAGGCATTACAAGAAAAATATTTGAGGTGGATTTTAGGGGTAAACAGCTGGACTCCGGGATATATTGTGAGGGAGGAATTGAAAAGAAAAAAAATGAGAGTGGAGACTGGGTGGAGAGCGGGAAAGTTTGAAGAGCGGTTACAGGAAGGAAAGGGAGGGGAAATAGGAAAAGAAAGTATGTTAGAACGAAGGAAAGATGAAAGAGAAAAACGAACAGAAAATTGGACAAAAGAAAGTTTAGAGAGGAGGGAGTATATGTGGAGAGGAGGAGTAAGTGAGGAAGCACTAAATTTATGGGGAGCAGCAAAATAGGAGCAATTGAGAGAGAGAGATAAAGAAGTAGACGCACAGCAAAGGGGGGAAGAGGTTAAAAATTCAAGGTCCTGCAAAAATTATTTAAAAGTAATAGAAATTCCAGAATACCTAAGGACTAATAAAAAGAGAGAGGGAAAGAAAGTACAAATGATTGCGAGGTGGAGATGTGGGAACGAAGAAAGAGGAAATATGTACTGGATGAATGAAGTGGAGAGAGAATGTAGAATATGTCGAAAAGAGAGAGAGGATATAAAACACTTGAAAGAAGAGTGTCAGTCAGTATGAATGGATGAAAATGATAGAGGTAGTAAGAAGGGAGAGAAAGGGAAGGAAGCAGTGTTGAAGAATGTTTAGCCGGTATGAAGGGAAATAATGTAGAGAGAGTGAAAAGTGGTATGAATGAGAAGTAGGAAATAAGTTAACTATATCTTGATGTAAACAATTGTATTGTGAATTGTAAAATAGAAGTCCGTGTAATCACAAGTGTGAGCACGCAATAAATCTATCTATCTATCTAATTACATATCAAATAAGTGAATAAAATATGTTTAATAATTTTTTAATAATTGCTTGTAATTCCTCAATTTTGTCGAAAAATATATACATATATTGTATTTTACTTAAAAATTTAAAATTTTGACAATTAGTACAAGCTAACATTTATGTCTTCGTATTATACTGATGTCGTATGGTACTGATGTCTTCGTATTGTTTTTGTTAATATCAATATAATGATAATAATGATAACTTATTTTTTAAATAATGTTGTATATACTTTCCACAGAAAAAGCTTACACATAATTTTTAAAAGTTTTAGCGATGTATAATTAATAAATAATGTTTCAAGAATAAATGACAGATATTTTTATGGAGATAACACACATTTTCAGTCTTCATTTAATAAATTACATATCTCTACAGTTTGATTATATCACATCTGGTCGTAAATTAACATTACAACGTATAATAATTTTAAATAAGAAAAACTTCTGTATAAATAAAATATAAACTTGTAAAGAAAAGGGCACTAGAAATCAAGCGCAGATAACTTTACGCAAATGCTAATATATGTATAACAAACAAAACTTTTTTATAATAATAATTGTGCTAATTATTATAATACAAATTTTTTATTACTATCACAATTATTATAATAAAAAAATTTTGTTTGTTATATGTATATTAGTATTTGTGTAAAGTTATCTGAGCTTGACTCCTAATACTCTTTTCTCTCCAAGTTTATATTTAACAAACATTAAAATATTTGTAAGACCGTATAATTGATAAACACAAACAAGTAGAAGACAGCCTATAACGATCAAAGCTGGATCATAGTTCTTATTATAATTATGTGTGAATTTTATATACATACAACTATGTAGTCCCTCCATAAGCGCGCTGATAGTTTTTCAGCATTAACGCATACATATTACCGTAGTAATATCACGAATTTACTTAGTTAACAATTTTTCATGCTACTAGCATCATGGATCTTAATAGTGATTTGAGTGACATATTAAATGTGAAGATGATAAATGAAAATTCCGTAAATAATTAGATCTTTAATTTATTCTTTATACTCGTATATTGCGAAAAATATCAATAATTTTGGTGTTTCGTCCCGGCTTTCACTACTAACTCATCAGTAAGGCATTGTAGTGGAAGCCTACCTTATACTCCTGAGTGATTTATTAAATCGAGATTCTATATGAAGAGGTATACGCGGTTCTCAGCACTTACGAGAATATCGATAGACCTCTGATGGCGGGTCGACGTAATAATATTCTTCGCAATATTTATCTAAACTAGGAATAGCGTCTTTTTTCGGCTTGACGCGTATTAATACGCGTATTACTACGTGTCAAATCGAAAAAAGACGCTATTCCTAGTTTAGATAAATATTGCGAAGAATATTACTACATCGACCCGCTATCAGAGGTCTATCGATATTTTCGTAAGTGCTGAGAACCGCGTATATCTCTTCATATAGAATCTCGATTTAATAAATCACCCAGGCGTATAAGGTAGGTTTCCACTATAATGCCTTACTGATAAGTCCAGTAGTGGAAGCCGGGACGAAACGCCAAAATTATTGATATTTTTCGCAATATATAAAGAATAAATTAAAGATCTAATTATTTACGGAATTTTCATTTATCATCTTCGCATATAATATGTCATTCAAATCACTATTAAGATCCATGATGTTAGTAGCATGAAAAATTGTTAATTAAATAAATTCGTGATATTACTACGGTAATATGTATGCATTAATGATGAAAAACTATCAGCGCGTGATTATGGGGGGACTGTAAAATTCACACATAGTTATAAGCACTGTGATCCAGCTTTGACTGTTATAGGCTGTTTTCTTCTTATTTGTGTTTATATTTAACATTACATTACTAATGTATGTTCTTATATAACAAGAAATTGATGGACGCAAGTAAAATGTTTTATAAACCAATTCATTAGATTCTGATTTCAAATTTCATTTATTACATAATAAGTATCATATTATTACTGTATTGATAAAGTGTATCTTTTTTTAAATTAAATTATTAACTTAAAAGTAAAGTAAAATTTTCTTACTTTATCAATTTTAGAACAAATAATAAGATCAAAAATTTTGCATTGCAAATTCGTATTTTCACATGTATTGTATATAAATAAAGTATTAATACTTTTAACTACGTCAAATTTGTTATAGCCTTTTTACTTCAATCTCAATCTAATCTGCATTGAGATTATAAGGCGATTCAAACGTATATAATTGAGATTGAAGTGTATATAGCGGTTCTTGTTTAAGATAAAATTAAAATAACTACGTAAATCACAAAAAATAACTTGTATGTAAACAATTCCACAACATACCGCGGTAGAAAAAACAGCTGTGTAAAAGAGGTAGAAGGCGACGAAAAAATAATTAAAACATGATCTCATTTTCGATACTTCTACGAAACACCAAGCATAGTATTATACTGATCCTCAACTCTTTCTAAAATCGTGACGCCGAGCTTGGATGCTGATCGGCGTTTTATCCAGCAGCAGATATTGATATACTTGAGAAAACAAGTGCTCTGATTCATGAAAATCGGAGAGTTATCAACTAAAAGGGTTAAAGATCATCTGAACAAAAGATAATGAAACGGAAAGAGAAGAAGAAAGCTGTCGGCTTGAAATATGTGCTCACGCACACGCGAATGCATACAGAATAGAAAAAAAGACGCCGACAAACACGAAAGTCGACACAACAAACGACTGCAAACAGAACTATTTGCCAATTGACGGTGTGTGAGCAAACTTCTGGCCGTTGATGATTATTGTGCAAGCTAACTTTATAAAAAGACCGACATGGCGCGAAAAACACGGATAACATAGGATCAAAAATTAATAAGGCTGTTATTTCATGTGTCCTTTTATTACATCCTTTGGAATCTCACCACTGAAACGACATTTTCAAAAAAAATAAAAAAACTTTTTTGTTTTAAATGATTCTTTAGAATCTTTAAATTAAGGTGCTATTGATCATATACGCGAAAAAAATTTTTAATTGGTTTTATAGTTGATTTTTTTAAGCAAAGCGTGACGCCATATAACGTTTCGAAGTAGCGTGCAGCAGCTTCGAAAAGTTTGCATGAATATCAGCATAAAACATATGTTTTACAAGAATCTTCAAGCCAGTGTATGAAGATTTAAGCAGGGATGACTTACTTAATGGTAAAACTTAACGGAAAACTTACTATAATAATAAACATACAACTTGTTTAGGAGGCTTTACGCAACAATAATTAATGCTTCAATTCGATTGTGTGCTCAATCGTTCCAGAAATATCTACAGGTGGCAAACAGATAGTCAATATCGCCGCAAACATCGCAACTTGCAGTTTCAATGATGGATTATCAAGAATAATGGAAATTATGTAGGTGTGTTGTTACTACTAATAGTAGGTCACACATAATTGTTATAATTTCTGCATCGATGCTGACGCATACCGCGTCAAGGCTGCCGAACACTCTCACAGATGCCGCTAAAAACGCTCGTAAAGCCTCTACATCCTTCAGAAAAATGAAAGAACAACAAAACGTTAATGTGGAAGGACAGTTATATGGCACTGGCATCGCAGAATAAAGATAAATTACTATTCTATTGTTCTTATTCTATAAGGTTAAATCATAAAAATGAAAAGGTCAAGCCATGTTCAAAAAAGAATCCTCTCAAAGATTTAAATCTTTAAATGTTCATCTAATCAAAAAAAGATCCATAATAATTTAAACCTTTAACACTTTAAATGATATTATCTAATATAATATATTACCACGAAAAGTAACTGATATATTACTAAATGTGCCAGTTCAAAGTGAACATACATAACATATGTTCTATGTTGAATATGTGTATTACGAAAAGTAACTGATAGATTATTCAAGGTGCAAATTCGAAATAAACATACATACATATAAGTAAAACAGATTACAATTTGCATATTACAGTTTTCTAGAAAATCACTGCAATATGTTATTCCTAGTGCACAAAATATAATAGTCGGTTATTGTGAGATTTGATTTGAAATTTATACTAGACCGTACAATAAAAAATATTTGTTTGTAATTTCAGAGTATCAATTTGTTAATGACTCAAAAAAAAACTTGGCGGCTTGCTCTCAAACTTTAATAAGTTTATCGATGTCTACTTAGAAGTAATGTCGAAACTTTTACAGAGTATGTATAACAACACATGAAATACAAAAAATATTGTATTAGAACCGTATCTTTAAAAACTCTATAACGAAGTGAATACACAAAATAATGTAGAAATGTAGCCTTTTTCATCTTTGATTTTCAATTCCGCCAAAATATAAAAGTCGTTATAATAGCCCGTACAATGAAAAATAATTGCTTGTAATTCCAGAGTACCAATCTGTTAATGACTTGGAAAAAGAACATGGCGTTCTGCTCTCAAAAGAATTTTGATGGGTAGAATAAATGATTGAAAT